CAGGACACAATATCGGGGACCAGGGTCTCTCTGGCAGTCCAGACACCTGTATTTTTTCATGGGCTCTTGTCCGCCTGCCCTCTCCCTAGGGCAGATAGGAGAGGGCCAAAGGGCTGGGGGCGGGGATGGGAAGTTAAGCAGGCACCATCGCTGGGACAAACACACAGCCTGTTCCCAAGTCCACCCCTAGTCCTCAGGAACCAAACCCTCCGCCGGGATCCTTTCATCTCACGCCAGGAACATGAGAGCATGAGGGCACCCCTTCCCACTAGAACCTTGAGTTGGGGGAGGACAGGCAGAGAAAAACCAGAGGCTGGCCAGGCACCCCTGCAGCCCATATCTGCCCATATCTCACCCCTCCCTCCAGCTCTGTGCAATCCCATGGGCCCCTGAGTGTCCTGTCGAATGAAAGCTTCCAGCCCTGGCATCTATGGGTCTCCAGGAAGGCGGCCCACCTGGCAGGGCTGACCCCATCCTGCAGGACAGAACTTAGCTGGGAGGAGAATCCAGGGGGTGACCACAGGTCCCAATGGGATGAGAGGCCAGCCTCTCTTCATTTCCAACAAAAAGCCCCACCCGGGGCCACGCAGTACCTTGAAGAAGCCCTTGCAGCCCTCGCAGGTGCGGACACCATAATGCTGGCATGACGCGTTGTCCCCACACACAGCACAGCGGCCTTCAGTTCCACCTGGGGCCCCGCTCCGGGTCTTGGTTGAGGTCACGGGTGCATCCAGTATCCCCGAGCCCTCAAGGTGTGGAGAAGTGGGTGCCAAACCTGGGAAGGCTGTTGGCATGGAATAGCTCTCTCCCTCCCCCAGCTGGTGGGTGGCCTGTGAGGGGAACAACTTCAGGGGGCTCTGGGCCAGGCTGGGGCTGGGACCGGTGGGAGGACTGAAGGAAAAGAAGGCTGGAGGCTGTGGGGGCCCAGACGCTTTGGGCAGCTGCTCTGTCCATGCCCGCAGGCCTTCGTAAGTCTGGCTGGGCGAGAAGTGGCCGAATGAGCCATCCCAGGGAGAGAGCTGGGGCGGCTGGAAGCTGGGCGTGGACGGTGATGGGGCCGAGCAGGGGCTGCCATAGTAGTCAGAGCCACTGGAGGACAGGGCCTCATCCACTGGGCCGCTCAGGGGGCCGGGGTAGCAGCCGTACACCTGGAAGTCCTCGAATTTGAAGGAGGCAGAGGCAGGGGAGGTGGCTGAGGACGAGGATGTGGAGGAGGCTGAGGAGGAGGCTGAGGAGCATGGCTGGACTGTTCCCGGCAGCTGGTAGAGGAAGGTGTCAAACTCTCCTGTGTAGCCGTCCATGAAGGTGCTGAAGCTGGGCAGGGCAGTGGGGGCAGCGGGGGCCGCCTCAGGGCTGGCCAGGTCCATGGTGGGCTTGATGAACTCAGGGGTCAGGGGGTCGCTTGCCAGGTGGTCACGGGGTCCTGGACTCGGTGCTGGTGTCCCATATTGGGCTTGGATACAGGGCATCTCTGGAGAGAGAGGAGACCCCAGGGAGGGAAAGGAGAGTCAGTGAGAGAAGCCTATAGCCTGGTCTCAAAGTATTTGGGCCCCAGAGCAGCAAGGTGGCAGGAATCCCAGCCTAAAGATGGGACAGAGGCATCAAGACCAGAGCACCCAGGAATCCTGACCCCTGGCCTGAGTACCGTCTCGACTTAGATGCCACAAAGCCCCTGGGCAGCGGCCCAGCATGAGTGGGCTCCGTCAGAAGGCCAGCCACACCCTAGTCAGCCTGGGAACCCTAGGGGAGGCATCCAGCCAGCATTTCTCTGCTGGAACAGGGGGAAGCTGTGTTCCTCTAGCCCCCTGACCCTCCCGCCCCCCCGCCCGGGGAAGGCGTGGTGGGGGCTGGGAAAAGGGTGAGTGGGAGAGGCAGCTCAGCAAAGCCTCAGCCCAGCTCCCAGCAGCAGCTCCCTGGGTTGTTTCGCCAACCAGGCACTTCCTGGGAATACTCCCAGGCACATCCCAGCCTCTGCAAAGCCCCTTTTCTCCTCCCCTCGCAGTGCCTAGGAAGAAAGACATCATGGAAATGGAAGAGGAGCTGGGAGTGAAAGCCCAGCTGCCTAAGAAGGGAAGCCACTCTGCACTGCCCAAGATGCTCCAGAAGCAAAGAGGAAGGCAGCCTAGGCCTCCTCATCGGTAACCTGGCTCCAGACCTTTAAAGGCCATTTGCTGGGGACAGGGGAAGGGGGAGGAAGGAGACCACAGCCCCCTGGACTCCCAGGAGAATGGACAACAGTACCTTAAAAGAATGTTCTGCTGCCCTCAGTTATTTTAATAAGAGAACTGTGAGAGTCCAGCAGAAGACTTAAGGTGGCTATGCAGGAAGGAGAAGCCTGCTGGTGGGTGGGTGGAAGACATTCTGCCCCTCCACTAAATCGGGGTCTGTGCCCTGAAGAATCCAGGGGCTCAGGCGAAGGGGGTTACACACCCCCAGTCCCAAGGAGCCTGAAGAGAGCCTGAACAGAGATAGCATCATTCAGGTAGATCCTCATATTCACAGAATGGTCAAAAAATAATGCAAAGGAGGCTCCAGGACAGTCTCCCTCCCAACCTCCATGTCTGGGGTCTGCATAACTCTGGCCTCACCAGTCAAGGAGGGAAGCTGGAGAAGAAATCAAGCAGGAACAGAGAGTACCATAATCAAGGGGTGCAGGGATGGGGGTAAAGCCTGTCACCACCTCCTGGCCAAGAACCCAGGAAGTCCTCTCTGGTTCTAGCCTTTCTTCTAACTCCACAGGCCCTGAACAGGGCACCTCCACCCCTAGCCTGACATTCACATAACCAACCAAGACAACAGAGACCCTCGTAGCTTGGGCCCCATCCACCCAGTGGCACCAGTCCACAGGCATGCAGCACCCTGCAAGAGGTGAGGGTGGCCACATCTGCCTGCACTAGGACAGCCTGGGCAGGGATGGGCTGGGGGTGAAGGAGGAAAGACAGCAGTTGGGCAGAACTGGGCGTTCGTTCCTGCCTTATTCAAATCCTGTTTCTCCACCTGGACGTCCCACATCCGGATCAACCCCCATCAATCCCTCCCCCTTCATGCAGGTTCTTAACAACACAAGATACGACCTACATCTAGCCTCATGGGAAGGGGGAGCAGTCCCACAGGAGGAGGAAGAGGCGGGGTTGAAGGAGGGAGTGGGGAGAATCCGGCTTCAGGCAGGTCCTGGCAACAATGTGGCTTGCACCTGTTCTGCTGAACAAGCCTCAGGCTGCACCCTACCTATAAGATCCAACAGGGACTACTGAGGGAGGGGGCATAGCGATGATCCGCATCTGGAGCTGGAATGGTTGGAAGGTATCCTCTAGGCAGCACCGCCCCAAGACTCCAACAGTGGCAACTTCTATCCAGGATCCCCAAGGACAAGGGTTTCCACCTCTGTCTGTCTCTTACACACACACACACACACACACACACACACACACACACGATCCAAGCCCCAGCGAAATCAATCCTCCCTGTGCTTCCAGAGACCCTGCCCCTGATCCCAAGAAGTCTCCTTTATTCAATACAGAGCAAGCAGCCCTCCACAGCTCAGTCACCAAGCCAGTCACTTCCTTCAGTGATCCGGAGGCTTCCTAACGCACCTCAGACAGAAAGTTCAGGGTGGGGAACTCCTGCCAACTCAGCCACAGCTGAAAACAACTGGGGCACTGGGAGGGGGCTGACAGGCTGGGAGGAAGAAGAGCCTTTTGGAAACCCAATCCCAGTTGGAGTCGTATGGATCCCCAGCAGCACCAAAGCTCTGTGTACCTGTTCCCCCACGGTGTTGTGATCCCCATCCACACCCACCCAAGTTCAGAGCACCGTGCGCCCAGTTGGGCACCCTAGGAGACTGAACTAAGGCCAGCCGCCTGCTGGACAAGTCCCTACTCCCGGCGCCAACCCCAACTCCCTGTGGCTTCCACCTTGCAGGTAGTCAACCTCCCCTACCTCCTACTCCGCACCCCGTAGTTTCCAGTTTGACCTGGGTTCTTATCCCGTTGCACTACAGCTGCACACTACACCCGCCCTCCTGCATGCTGGCCCTACAACATCCTTTCTGCCCGCGTGTACACCCATCTCCCTCATGCACCACCCCTAAAAACAGATGCACATTCCCCGAAGGGAACCTACCCGGCCGGCTCCCGCTGCCCCTGCCCGGACCGGCGCCCCGAGTCGCAGCCTGGTCCCTGGTCCCGTGTGCGCTCCCGAAGTTCTTCTGTGCACTCCCCCAACTTTCGCAGCCTCAGCCACTGGGACTCCCCGGGCGAGCCCGACCCTCCTCTTAAGCGCTCCGTGACGCACGGGGAGGGGCGGGGGCGCCACTGACGCAGGCCGCCCGGCGAGCTTTGGCCATACAAGGGCGCGGGGGGCGGTGCGGTTCCGGCGGGAGGCGGCCAGGGGGAGGCGCGGCCCGGGGAGCCCGAGGGGGCGGGGCGAGGAGGGGGGGCCTGGAATGTCTGCGCGCGTGACGCACGCGGGGTTCCATTGACGCAGGGAGCGCGGATTGTTTGATCTATAAATAGGCTCCTCGCGCCCGCCGCGCCCGCTAAAAATAGCAACTCCTAGGCCCACTAGGCTCCCCGCACCGGACCCGGGTCCCAGCTGGGGGCCCCCAGGTCCAAAATAACCAGCGGGAGGGCCAGCGCCGAGGGGCGCTGTAGAGACGCGGCCCTGGGGCTTCCCCGGACGAGGATCTCCTCACCCTCCAGCTGCTCCTGGGAGCCAACCGCGCCCGGTCCCTCTGGCTCCCTCCGAGCCCAGCCCCGCCTTTGCACCTTTCTGGAGCCCTAGGGTGTCGCTGCTGCCGCTGCTGGTCAGGACAGGCCGTGGGCTGGGACAGGCAACTTGGACACACCCTGGGGAGTCTGCGCCCTCACCTCAGCCCTAGGCGCAGCTAGTGCACAGGACGCGGCTTCCCCAGCAGGATCTCAGGCTGAGAGGCTGCCCCTGAGACGTCAGAGCCCCCTCTTAGTCCCCCCAGGCAGTCTCCCTACACAGGACCTTCCGGAGGGCACTGGTTGGCCAGGCCCAAGCTCGGGCCAACAGCTCCGGCTCCACTCCACAAGCTGAACTTGGTTTCGCACCGTCCCTTCCCCAGCCCCTTACAGGGGGAGTGCACCCTACTTGGGAAATTACCGAATTTCAGAACCGGGTGGAGCCTGAGAAATCTTTTCAAACTTGTGCGAACTCTTCCCCATTTTATAAATAAACAGGCTCAGAGAAATAATGGCACTTGCTGAAGGTCACACAGCCAAGTGGTGGCACACGGGTGGAACCCAGGGCCACAGACTGCATCTCTAGGGATCTCTCCACGCCTCTTATCAATCCCCCTCCCCCTGTCCACATCGGAGAGCACCGGCAGCTCTGACCAGTCATCACCTGCCCGGTGGAGTGCGGAACAGCCCGCCAGGGCCCTGCTGGGCACAGACCAGGCTTCAGTCACCTGGAGCTTTCCCTGGTTTGGCCGTCACCCGTCCACCCTGATCTCTCCTGAGCCTGGGGAGCCCTCATGGCAAGGTAAGAGAGGGAAGGGAATAAAAAAAAACAAAAAACAAAAAACCCACAAGGGGCCGGGCGCGGTGGCTCAAGCCTGTAATCCCAGCACTTTGGGAGGCCGAGACGGGCGGATCACGAGGTCAGGAGATTGAGACCATCCTGGCTAACACAGTGAAACCCCGCCTCTACTAAAAAATACAAAAAACTAGCCTGGCAAGGTGGCGGGCGCCTGTAGTCCCAGCTACTCGGGAGGCTGAGGCAGGAGAATGGCGTAAACCCGGGGGGCGGAGCTTGCAGTGAGCTGAGATCCGGCCACTGCACTCCAGCCTGGGCGACAGAGCGAGACTCCGTCTCAAAAAAAAAAAAAAAAAAACCCACAAGGAAAAGAGAGCCCTGCCACCCCACTGCGACCCCCAACCATTCCCCTTCTTCCCATGTAAGTCAATATCCATGAGTTTCTGCTTCCACTGAGCCTGCACCCACCCACCCTGTTCTCACCTCATCTGGTCACCCCATAGGACTTCCTCTGCCCCGGAGGCTCTGCCTGCTCCTGATTTCCGCCCTCAACCCCCATCACAGGTTTCCCACACCCTCGTCTCCAGCCCCCGCTTCTGCCCACTCAAAGGTCCCACAAGCACCTCAAAATTAAGCTGTTCCAGACAGAGCCTGTCATTTCTGCACCCCCTGCCTGCCACCTAATCTCTGCTCCTGATGCCCCATTTGCAACTCTTCATTGTTTCCTGAAATTCTTTTTTGGAACATCTCTTGGGTCCTTTCCTCTCCCCATTTTTGTTTTGTTGTTTTTGAGATAAGGTCTTGTTCTGTCGCCCAGCCTGGAGTGCAGTGGCACGATTATGGCTTACTGCAGCCTCGACCTCCCAGGCTCAAGCCTCTTGCCTTGGCTTCCCAAAGTGCTGGGATTACAGGCATAAGCCACTGCACTCAGCCTCTCCCACTTTCCTACTGCCAGCCACAGCCCATGCCTCACTGGTCCCACAGACCAACTGCCTGCGCGCAGTGACCACTCCTTGCCCACACCCATGAAGACTATCCAGTAGCCTGCCTATCTTCTCTTTCTAAAGCCTCACTGTCCACCACAGATGGAGCAGTCTTCATACAGTTGACCCTTGAACAACACGTTTGAATTGTGTAGGTCCACTTATATGGGGATTTGGGGATTTTTTCAATCCAACATGGATCCAAAAACCCACACATACAGAGGGCCGACTTTTAGTATCTGCAGGTTCCACAGGGCCAACAGTGGGACTTGAGTATTCACAGTACAAGTTGGGGTCCTGGAGCCAACTCCCTTCATATACTGAGGGGTGACTGTAATGCTGATGGCCAGTGATCTGGTCAGAACCTGCCAGAACCCTCCATCCCAGCATACAGTCTCAACGTGAATGTGTCTGCAGAGAGCTCTGGGTTGCCCCAAACCATCTTCCTTCAAGGCCACTGGTTGAGCGTGAAGTGTGGGCAGGATGCTGCCAATTGGACCCATCCAGGATCCCTACCTCATTTCAGCCAAAGTTTTGCTTTTCTTTCTCTTAGGCTTTTCCATAAGATTTTGCTTGGATTTTACAGAATCCTTTTGTGGAAAATGACTCCACAGCTTTAAAAAAAAAAAAAAAAAAAAGGTTTAAAACCACGTATAGAATTCAAGTCCTCCCATTTTGCAGATTAGGAGACAAGGGTTCCAAGAGGAGCTGCACCTTGCTCAGGAGCACACAGCGTCTTGCTGGGTGGAACCGATCCCAGCTGTGTCACAGGCTGGCTTCCTCACCTAGCACCTGCTTTGCCCCAGGATGTCTCCCTCCACCCCAGCAGGGCCTTCCCTAGAAAATAAAACTAACTTTTTTTTTTGAGACAGAGTCTCGCTCTGTCGCCCAGGTTGGAGTGCAGTGGCACAATCTCAGTTCACTGCAAGCTCTGCCTCCCGGGTTCACACCATTCTTCTGCCTCAGCCTCCCAAGTAGCTAGGACTACAGGTGCCCGCCACCATGCCGGCTAATTTTTTTGTATTTTTAGTAGAGATGGGGTTTCACTGTGTTAGCCAGATGGTCTTGATCTGACCTCGTGATCCGCCTGCCTCGGCCTCACAAAGTGCTGGGATTACAGGCATGAGCCACTGCGCCTGGCCAAAATAAAACCAATTTTAATAGGTAGCAAAAGATAATCAGTCAAGCCAATGTTCTTTCTGCTAACCAGCAAGAACAGGTGTGTTGTCTATGGCTTGACCAGTCTGTGCTCAATCTCCACCCTTGCTAGCTCTTGTTTTGTTTTGTTTTGTTTTTTTGAGATGGAGTCTCCCTCTGCTGCCCAAGCTGGAGTGCAGTGGCGCGATCTCGGCTCACTGCAAGCTCCGCCTCCCGGGTTCCTGCCATTCTCCTGCCTCAGCCTCCCGAGTAGCTAGGACTACAGGTGCCCGCCCCCGACCAAGCCCAGCTAATTTTTTGTATTTTTAATAGAGACGGTGTTTCACTGTGTTAACCAGGATGGTCTCAATCTCCTGACCTCGTGATCCGCCTGCCTCAGCCTCCCAAAGTGCTGGGATTACAGGCGTGAGCCACCACCCCCCACCCAGCCTTGCTAGCTCTTTGACAGTTGAACCAGCCTCAAGCTCAGGCACCCTCCTCTCCTCCTAACAACTTGGCATTTGTAAAAAGTGGCACAGACCATCCCGTGAGGTAGGCCCACCCATAAGCCTAAGGAAAACTGAGTATGGTGAGGAGCTGTCCCGGTCCCTGGTCTGAATCTCAGCATCTAGCCTCCAGATCTGGGCCTGCAGCCCAGGCCCCACCTCCCCAAGCCGCTGCAGGTCATGAAGGCTGCAGTCCTGCTGCCCCAAAGCCTGGAGGAGGATAAGAAACTACAGCTGCCACCTGGCCATGCTTGCAGGGGTGGGGAATGGTGGGGGTGCTCAACACACCACATTCTGAAAATAAGTAAATAAGGAGAAAAAGGCAAAGTCCCTCTGTGGAAACACAGCTGGGGCCACCGATGCAGGTTCCCATGTGGAGCACCTAGCCTAAGATAAAGGTGAGAGAGGTGAAAGGGGCTTGGGGATCCCAGGCCTTGTGGGCCCTCCAGGGAGGATGGCCTGGGCCTCTGAGAGAGTGGAGTCCAGCTAGTGGAACTTTGGAGAAAGGCACAATTGATGTGGACTTTGGGAGGCCTAAAGCAAATGCTGGTCCCAGACTGGCCAGAGACTCCCAGCAGACACCCCCCCAAGTCAACCTTCAAGAACAAGGTCAGAGTGAACAGCTAATTGTCAGGGAGATGGGGTAGGAGGGAACAGGTAATAATGAGAGAGGTATCCAAAACTAGAGACAGGGACCTGAAGGTAAGGCAAGGCCATGACAACACAGAAGGGTAGGTAGAGAAGATGTCATGCTGGAAACAAGAGACAGCCCCACCCAGTAGTCAGGCCCCCGCACCACAGCCCAGCCTATCCATCTGCCCTCATCACCCCAGTTCCCCACCGACCCCATATAAGGACCTTGAGCTAAACCTTCCCATCACCCACTTTGCACATACTGTTTGACCCACTGGGCACACTGTTTCCCTTCCTCCTTTCTATTATAATCCTGCTGATCCTCCAAGACCTCAGCTTAGAGTCTGGACCAGCCCAACTCTTTTTTTTTTTTCCTAAGTCACTATATCCAACTAACTCATTTATAATAAGCTCCTTCTCACTGGGAGTGGGTCAGACCTTGGCCAGGGCACTTCACATGGATTCTTCCATTTAACCCTCTCCCCAACCCTTCCAGGTTTGGAATTACAATCTGCATTGTGTAAAGACAAAAACAGAGGCTCAGGGGCAGGATTGAAACTCAGGTCCCCTAACTCCCAGTTTTGTGCAGGACCCATTGGCCCTAGACTCTCACCTCCAGAGGCTGTGGCTTCTGGCCCCATGGGCCTTGAGTCTTGTAAGTGAACCACAAAACCAGGTACACACACAACCTATAAACTGAAAATGGAGGTGCCTACAATGGGGGCCTTTGTGGAAATGGACACATTCTAGTTCCCCATCTGGACGATAATCACCCAAGCATGTTCACTCTGGAAAAGTCATCAAATTGTACATTTTTTTTTTTTTTTGAGACAGAGTCTTGCTCTGTCACCCAGGCTGGAGTGCAATGGCACAATCTCAGCTCACTCCAACCTCTGCCTCCTGCGTTCAAGCAATTCTCTGCCTCAGCCTCCCGAGTAGCTGGGATTACAGGTGCCCGCCAACACGCCCAGCTAATTTTTGTATTTTTAGTAGAGACGGGGTTTCACCATGTTGGCCGGGCTGGTCTTGAACTCCTGACCTCGTGATTTACCTGCCTTGGCCTCCCAAAGTGCTGGGATTACGAGCCACCACGCCTGGCCAACCTATACTCTTAAGACTGTACTGAAGGCTGGGCGCAGTGGCTCAAGCCTGTAATCCCAGCACTTTGGGAGGCCGAGGCGGGTGGATCACGAGGTCAGGAGATCGAGACCATCCTGGCTTACATGGTGAAACCCCGTCTCTACTAAAAATACAAAAAACTAGCCGGGCGTGGTGGCGGGCGCCTGTAGTCCCAGCTACTCGGAGGCTGAGGCGGGAGAATGGCGTGAACCTGGGAGGCGGAGTTTGCAGTGAGCCGAGATCGCGCCACTGCAGTCCAGCCTGGGCGACACAGTGAGATTCTGTCTCAAAAAAAAAAAAAAAAAAAAAGACTGTACTCCAGGCACTGTGGCTCATGCCTGAAATCCCAGCACTTTGGGAGGCCGAGGCTAGAGGACTGCTTGAGCCCAGAGTTTGAAACCAGGCTGAGCAACACAGTGAGACCCGTTCCTTACAATAAAATTTTAAAAATTAGCCAGGATGTGGTGGTGCACACTTGTAGTCCCAGCTACTTGGGAGACTGAGGTGGGAAGATTGCTTGAGCCCAGAAGTCTGAGGCTGCAATGAGCCATAATCATGCCATTATACTCCAGTCTGGGCAACAGAGTGAGACCTTGTCTCAAAAAAAAAAAAAAAAAAATTGTACACCTATGATGTGTGCACTTTTCTGTATTATTTATATTCCCCCCAAAGTTTTTTGTTTGTTTTTGAGATGGTATCTGTCACCCAGGCTGGAGTGCAGTGGTGTGATCTCGGCTCACTGCAAGCTCCACCTCCCGGGTTCACGCCATTCTCCTGCCTCAGTCTCCCGAGTAGCTGGGACTACATGTGCCTGCCGCCACGCCCAGTTAATTTTTTGCATTTTTCGTAGAGACGGGGTTTCACGGTGTTAGCCAGGATGGTCTCGATCTCCTGACCTTGTGATCTGCCCGCCTTGGCCTCCCAAAGTGCTGGGATTACAGGCGTGAGCCACCGCGCCCTGCCCAAATTTTATTTTTAAATAGCCACGCCTGAATGAGAGAGACATATTTCTTCATATGGATCCAGATGCAGATGGAATTTATTGAGAACAATTCTTTCAAGTGTGTGCTTCTGAAACCACAGTGGCTGTTTCTTATTATGTATTATTTCTATCAATAGATAGAGTACAAGTACGGTTAGCAGGGAATGCAGCATCTCATAGTAGAAAGGGGTCCTCCTGCTGACAACACAGTTTATTTTCTGAGCAGTTCACCAGGCCCTTACCCCTCCTAGTCAAATTTTATGGGGCCCAGGGATTTATCATGTACTTAGACCCATCTCTCACCCACCAGATGTGAACACCATGAGGACAAGGGCACTGTCTGCTACCCCATGCTGGGAAGATCCTTTATACATCCTCAGTGGTAAGTAGCCCAGGGCAGGCCCCAGATGAGCAGCCAATGTCCATCACCATTCCCCAGCCCAGAGGGTGGGGGTAGAGATGGGTAAACAGGAGATGAAGGAAGTGGAATTACACAGCCCTTTTCCCACGCTACTCCTCCACCTTGGGCTGGGCCCCGCCCCTACTAAGTAGAGGTCAGGAACTTGCCCTACTTTCACTGAGACTGTCCCCACCCATGGGCCTCCACACCCTTCCCCTGGGGTGGGCAAAAGGAGCTTCGCCTTCTCCAGCTCAGAAGTGGCCCTGGGAGCTTCCCCTCGGCCCCAGGGTCTATCGCCAGCCCTGACCTGGCCACTTCCTCTTCCTGCTCTGGCAGTGGGCAGGGGGATTTGCACTGTGGGCAGGGAAGCACTGCCTACTGCCCCGGGGGCTTCCCATGGGCAGCTCTGGGAACCAGGGGGGAAGGGTAAGGCCCAGACCCCTGGCTCTGCTCTCCTGGCCCTTGCCCAAGCCCTACCATGAGCACATGTATCATTATCTCCCCAAAACCAGCCTCCCGGGGACCCAGGCAGGCCTGCACCCCTCCCCTCAGCTCTCAGCAGGGGCCAAAGATGGAAGAGCTTTCAGAGGCATCTTTGTCCAGGAGCTAGCAAGCCTGATGTGTGACCTGAGGCCAGTCCCTTGTCCTCTCCAAGACTGCTTCCTCATCTGCCTAATGCAGACATCACCAGTCCCAGTGCTGGTAGAATTCAGTTCACAATGGAGGGAGAGGTTCAACATCCAAATGTAGCACTGCCTGGGGCCTGGGCTCCCCCACTGTCGTGGGAAACTTGTAATGGCAAGTGAGGGTGGAAGTCGGGAGGCAGGCAGTACCTCCAAGTCACAGGGAAGTGCTACAGGGGGGTGGGTTCCAGGACCCCGACATATACCAAAATCCATGCATACTCAAGTCCCGCACTCGGCCCTGTGGAACTCGTGTCTGCAGTGGGACAACCACAGCGGCCTGCAGCAGAATCCTGGGACTGGCAGGGGCAGGAGATAGCAAGGTCCTCAGCTGGACGGGGGAGCCAGCAGCCCTCCTGCTCCAGGAACTACAAACAGTAACCCCATCTCTACTTCTCCCATTCCTGGGCTGAGTGAGAGGAAATGAGAGTGTGCCCAGCGATGTGGCTCTACCGGGCACTGGGAGAATTCCAGACTCTGTATGCAGCAAGTGGTCAATTAATACTCTGGAGAGAGCCAGTTAATTAAGGAGGTCAGGGTATGGCCACAGAGGCTATTTTCAGTCCAGTGATTTCTCTACCCCTTCCTCCCTCCCTCTCAGGCCAGAAGAAATTAACATACAGCACAAAAGAATTAAGATCAGGCTTCAGGAACAACAGCCAGACGGGGCTGGAAAACACTGACAAGATCACGGAGTTCCTTTGGGAAAGGTTGGCCCACGCCTTGAACCTCCCTCGGTTTCCCCCTCAGTCTGTTCAGCTCCTGGCCAGCTCTCTTCTCCTCTCACCTTGGAGGGTCTCCCACCACCTTGCAGAACATCAACACCCACCAAATTCCCTTGCCTCTGTCCAAGGTCTCCACCCAGCCCATGCGGGCAGAATTTCAAATTCCAAAATAAAAACCCTCTGATAACGAGTCCCAGCCGGAAAGACTGATGCACTTTCCTATTGTTAAAGTATTTTTAGTCACAGGCTCTGGATTCGTTTAGAGACTCACGTTCAGAAAGGGGAAAAATTTTTTTTGAGAACTGGGAAGGAGAGCACAGGAGCCTCCCACGTAAGGAGCTGCTGCCTGTTCCATGCTGGGCCAGAGTCCCTGGCCCAGGTCCCGGAGCGTGTTTGTGGCAAGCTGGTTGGCAGACTTGCCAGACCTCTCTCCAGCTCTGCTTCTCAGGCACCCAAAGCAGCTGGGAGGCCCGGCAAGGGCCCGGCAAGGGGGACAGGCCAGGGGCTGAGGGCTCAGCAGGGCACCAAGCCCCTGGCCCAGCCACTCAGTCCCAACTAGTGGGGGCTCAGGGGCCCCCACTCAGAAGCCAATCCTGAGATACCCCAATGGACACCAAACTTGCCGCAGTGACCAGTGCCTCATCCAGATGGGGCAGACAGGAGAGGAAGACGGACCCTGTGGGGAAGCTCTGAGGAAGGAGCTAGACCGCATCACCTGTCTCTGTCCACCTCTCCCAGTTCTCAGTCACAGCGTTCACAAGTCCAACTATCATCATCCAGCTGTGGTCAAGCTGCACACTCATGCCTCCAACTGTTGGCCACCCTTGCTTCCTCCCCGCAGCCCAAGGCCAAAGGGTTTGGCATGACAGTCGCAATGGGAAAAAATCCAAACAGCCCAGCTCCCATTCCTCAATGTCCCCGTCCCAAGACTCACCAGCTTCCTCCTCACGATCTGCTTTGACCCTGGACAAAGGTCCTGGACAACCGCACGAAGGGAGAATCCCAAGATTGGTTGGGGGCTCTTTCTGGCAGCCTCAGGGAGCCCTGTGGGGAGAGACGTGCTGCCCAGCCAGCCTATCCTCGCAGCCGAGGCCGGGCAGCAGCTGAGCAGGCTCTGGATGTGGTGCTGCCTCCAAGCCGGCCTGTCCTCCTCTGTTTATATAGCAGAAACCAGAGCCGGCCTCTGGGGATGGGGGGAGCCACTTTGGGCCCTCTTGGCTGGGCCTGACTTTGGCCCAGGTCAGCAAGAGCCCAAAATAGTCAGCTGACGGGAGCCCCGGCATGAGCGTGACCCTGGGCCCGTGCCCGGGCCTGGCAGACAGGTGCCCACGTCACAAGACCAGCAGCTCTAGCACTCATGGGGCCCCGGTTGGCAGCCCCTCAGGGTGGCCTTGGCAGTGTATCTGGCATGGGAGTTCCACCCACTCACCACCATCACCCAGACGACGAGGTAAACACAAGGAATTCTGCCCACCAAGGCTGCTGTGTACCCAGAGGGAGAGCTGGGTGCTTAGGAAGCTGGGTCTGGACTGGGGGTGGATGTGGGGGCCAAGTTGAGGGAGGGACACCTGGCCACTGCTGTCATCTACATTCACGTGCCTCCCAAGTCCAGATCTCCAGCTGACCAGAGAACACCTGCCTCTTACAGTAATTCCTCTCCCTGTCTTCGGCCCGAGGTTGGTGGTACAGCGCCTGCTGCCATTGGGAGGCCAGGCGCACACCCAGCCCCACCCCTAGAACAGGAGGCCCTGCTTCCCAGGGCTTCCCCCTTCCCTCCAGGCTGGGACCAGACATCCCATCCTCCCCACCCCAGCCACCTCTCCAAGGCTCTCTGCACCCTGAACGCTGACCCCCTCTGAGGCAACAGTGTTTGGGAAGCTGAGGGAGATATTGAGCCAGCGCCTGCTTCATCCGGGATCTCTCAAGGCCTGGGAGGGCTGCTGCTCAGAGATGGCCCTCTTCCAGGGAAGGAGGAAGGGAATCTCATGGCCCCTGTCTGTCTGGGGTGTAAGGCAGAGCTCCAGCTCCTTTAAGCACAGAACCAGGACTACAGTGCCCTTGGCCCCATCTCATGTCCCCAGGAAAGGCCTGCTGGAAATCCCATTCCCGTCGTCCACCTCTCAGTCCCAGATCAGTGTGGGCCTTCTCTGGAAGCACCCTCAGTCAAGGAAGTTATGTCCTCCACCATCAGACCAGGTGCCAGTGCTTGCCAGCTACCCAGGAGGCATGGTTCTGGGCTTGGCTCTACACATCCTTACTGCAGGACCCCTGGAAAAGTCATTTCTCCCTTCTGTACCTCAGTCTCCTCTTCTGTAAGTGGAGGAGATGTGCTAGATCACAAGTAGTGGAAGGGCTGTCCCTGCCTTCCCATTCAGAGGCCACCCCCTACACCACAGACTCCATAGGCCCTCAGGCCTGCCGCAGTAAGGAGGGGCAGGCACCGTGCTTTCCATGAGGGAGTGGAGGTCCCGGCCTTCCCTTCATGCACTCACCTGGAGAAGTGTCTACACCCGGGAGACAGGCCAGTTCCCCACTGCCACGTCTGCTCCATGATGCTCCCAGCCCAGTCCCCAGATACCCTATTCCACCCTATCTGCTTCCTGGAACCAGGCACATGCTGCCTTGGGAGCAGCTGTCATCCCCTATTCCTACCAGCCCATGTCACCTGGGCCCAGAGCCCTCCAGCCTATCCTGCCAAGAAAATAAGGCTTCCCCAGTCCCCACACCCACATTACCCCCACCTCTGAAGAAATCAGATCCCCCACACTGAACAGCACCTCGGCTGCCACCTCCGCGGGGTTTCCCCTCCATCCCCCTAACCACATCCGCTTTGGGCAGCTCCACCCCCACCTCTGCCCCCCAACCCCACCTGCTGGAGGGGTGTACAAAGGACAATAACAGAACACTTACCACTCTGGATGGACCAACAGGCCTTGGCCAACCACATTATCCTGTCAGCCGTCAGGGCCCAGGAGAAGGCACCAGGCTGCCTGGGAGGGGCAGGGCCTGGCCTCTGTCCATGGTGGAGGCCTACAGAGGGAGAGTCGATGTGAGTGAAGAGAAACCAGCCAGCAAGCACATTCCCTGGAGATAGCATGGCCAGGACACACAGGAATGGGAGCAGTGGCAGGATCCAGGCCGCAAGAGGGGGACAAGCCATCCCAAGGACCTCCCTGGGTTAGGCATCAGAGCCTGGGGGCCCAAGCCCCAGGCAATCTGCTTCCAGGGGTGTAGGGTGTGGCCAGGAGCTGCTGACAGCATCTGGGGCATTTCAGAGCCATATAAACACATCAGCATCTAGTCCCTCCACCTCATACCCTTCTCTGACGTGCACAAAAGTGGGCATGTTGCAGGCACAGGAAGGGAGCTATTGTGAGGATAGAGCGGAATACCCCTCTCTCCTTAAGAGGCTCTAGTTTGGCCCCTAAAGCCTCAGAGGCCCCCAAAAGGCAAGGGTTCCACTCAGAGTAGAGTGGATGTGGGATCCCAGACTGTCTGGGTTCAAATCCTAGTTCCACTGCTTATCACCTTGGGCAAATTACATAATCTCTTTGTACCTCATGCTCCTCATCTGTAAAAATGATGACATCTCTAAAATTAACAATCACAGGGTTATCAGCAGGCTTTTAAAACAGTTTTTTTTTTTTTTTTTTGAGACGGAGTCTCGCTTTGTCGCCCAGGCTGGAGTGCGGTGGCACCATCTTGGCTCACTGCAAGCTCCGCCTCCCGGGTTCACACCATTCTCCTGCCTCAGCCTCCGAGTAGCTGGGACTACAGGCGCCCGCCACCTCGCCCGGCTAATTTTTTGTATTTTTAGTAGAGATGGGGTTTCACCGTATTAGCCAGGATGGTCTCAATCTCCTGACCTCGTGATCTGCCCACCTCGGCCTCCCAAAGTGCTGGGATTACAGGCGTGAGCCACTGCGCCCGGCTAAAAAAAGTTAATGTGTAAAAGACTTAGGACAGTGCTAGATACACATATCTGCTACATGTCATTATTAGGAGAAGTTCAATGAGGACACACACATAAAAGCTAGCCACAGACCCTGGTTCCTAGTCCAAGGCACCCTGGGCACCTGGCCTCTCCTTCCAGGGTGGAAGCCAACTATGTGCCTCACCCCACACCCCAGCCTCTTCAGCTCTCCCCTAACCCCGTTCAGCTAGGGTACCTTGACCCACATCTCTCCTTCTCTTCCTCCACCCACTCCAGTGCTCTCTCCTCTCGACTACGCTCCAGAGTGAGGGCAGGACCAGGCCTTCACTGGCTATTGGACTGCCCTTAAGACCGATGAGGTCTGGGAAAAGAGAAGGAGATGATGGGAGCTAGGAGGGACAAAGAGGAGGAGGACCCCAGAGGGTGGGCAATGGGCTTCCTCGTCCTCCTGACCTCTGCCCAAGGTCTACAGGCCAAGGGGAGGACCTCTGGCCCACAGTACCCAGGCTCTCCCCTTACGACATTACCAGCACCCCTCCCTCCCGATCCTGTGGGTATGATGGGGAGCAGGAAAAGGCCACAGGAGAGAAGGAGGGAAGGGAGGGCAGAATGGAACATCTGGAGCATCTTTAACCCTAAACAGAAAGCAAGAAGAGGCTTCCAATCTGCCCCAGCCCATGGACTACACCTGCTTTCCAGGATGACAGTGTCATCCTCCCATCCCCTGGAAACTGGTCTATAATTTCCCCCAGCCTTGTCTTTTCTCCCTACCAGCCCACTGCTGAGAAGGAAGGGTAGGGAGGGCCAAATACCACCTACCATAATCAGGCCCAACCTGAGCACCCAGCTCTTCCCCATCTGGTTCTCAGAACAGGGGCCAGAGTCTGGCACCTGGTGGTGCCCACAAATGATTTTAGCATCTTCAAGCAGGTATCTGTTTCCCTGCCTGCTCTAGATCAAAATGCCCCCCTCAATAGTCACACCACAAGCATTTACTGAGGACCCCCTGGAAGCTAGGCAGCGTGCCCCGAACCACAGGAGAGCCAAGAATGAGCACACCAAGATCCCAGAGCCCCAGGATCTGATAAGGGATGAACCAAGGTCAAGGACAATCTGCACTGGGCAGAGGGCAAACCAAAGGCTGAGTGGGCTTGGCGGAGAAAGTGACCCCCAAAATGGGGTGGACCATCAGGCCAGATTTCAGTCCCCAGTTCCTGCTCCCCACCAACCTCATTTCCCAGCCACTCGCTGTGGTCC